ATATGTAACAGGATGTGTTTATACCTATGTTGTGGACTAGTGAAGAAAGTTGCTTGGGTCCAGGTTTATATTACCTGTAGTCTAACACTTTCATTGAGTCAAGTGGTGTGGTTTCGATTCCCCGCTTGTACATGACAAGGAGTAGGTTTCTCCGTTTCCTCCCACTGCTAAAGAGCCCTACTTTACGTGACATCAAAGACAGGACATCAGATGTTTGTACCATCCAAACAACTAGATACCTTCTACCTTACACCAATGACAAGGGGTGACCAGGCTGCGTAATCATGACTAACTTTCTCAACCAACCCCAGGATTGAATCTAAATCAGTGATCAGTGCCTTACACGCTGAGCCACCATGTCTCCATCAGAAGCCAAACCTAACTATAGTGAGCCAGGACAATAATCACCGAGTCACCATGTCTCCAATCAGAGGCCACACCTAGATGTAGTGAACCAGTGCCTTACTCGGTGAGTCACCATGTCTCCCATCAGAGGCCACACCTAATTGTAGTGTGCCAGCGCTTTACTCGATGAGCCACCATGTCTCCCATCAGAAACGAAACCTAATTGTGATGGCTAGTGGACACCAACAAAGTTCTAGATATGAAAATTAACCGATTAATTTGTGCATCAAAATACATTTTATTAACAATTAAAATATAATGCAACTCCCCCAGTTTTGACAAATAAAACAGAACCATTTACACAGGTCACAATTCATATTTAATACAACACTTTAACTAAGCTTCTCTAAAAACCATGGCAACAATAGGATTCTCTTAGTCTTTATCAAAGCAATAATATAATTAGAAAATAAGAGAAACTTATGGTAGTCAAATTGCACTTAGTAATAAGCATACAGGTCACAATTCTATGGAATACAATTACTGCTTTTTACTGAGCGACGTTTCGACTAGGCTTCTCTAGTCATTATCAAGCTATCATCATAGCTTGATAATGACTAGAGAAGCCTAGTCGAAACGTCGCTCAGTAAAAAGCAGTAATTGTATTCCATAGAATTGTGACCTGTATACTCTAGTTCAGTTACTAAATGCCATTGAAACAGTTTAGTAATAAGCAGTAATTGTATTCCATAGAATTATGACCTGTATATTCCAGTTGAATTACTAAATGCTATTAAAAATATTTAAAATTAATGTTTCTAAACCAATTAAATTGTATCGAGACAGGATCAGATGTAGAAGTTACAGGATATGCTTTACTACACAATTAGTACATGTAATTGATTAATACAGTGGAAGTTATAATGGGAGTTTTACTGCTGCCAGGCCAGTTTTTTTAAGTTGTGAACTGCAGGGCCTCTTTCTAGTGTGAGCCCCCTTGGTCAAATGTGCCAAAAACCGGCCCCTTTCTAGTTGAGGCCTTACTTGTATATAGAGATTTCTCCTCAATTAATTATAGAAATAACAGATCCGATTGTATTAATATTTTAGTTTATTTACATTCTACTCATTTACAGCTTTAGACAGGTTTCAATGTTATTTATTAAAAGAAGACAGAAAATCCATTCTATGGGATATAATATTTACTGTCTGTTACTCATTCATAATTCACACCAACACAGAATAATTTTCATATCTCGCCCCAAGTTCACAAAACATCTACAGACTTAAGTTAAGAATTTACTCAACTTTCAATCACTGTTTATGAGAAATATCTTTGATCCAGAAACACAAAACTGTGCACATAGTTTCTTATTGATGTATTTGATACACTTAAACAATAAAAGTTTTATAAATGGCTATATTGTAGTTTAAATAAGGCGAACAATTTTGAATAAATTCTCAACTTAAGTCCGAGAATGCTTTGTGAACTTGGGGGCTGGACTATAATCTTATCATCAAATGCCATTCTAGCGTGGCTTGTCTTCAAGACTGACACTGAAATTTACCAGTTGACTATTTCATACTTTTGTAAAATGCTGGAGTCCACCACAGAGTAATTTTAGAGAATTTATCCAAACAAATATTACTAAATAATGTAGCTTTTTTCTGCTGTTCAAAAACTGATTCATGTTCTGCAAAAAGATGAAAATAGATATTTCGTGCTCCAAAATTATTTCTTGAAAATATGAGGTTATATGGAATACAATAAAGGTAGGTCAATAAACTTTTGGCTTCAAAAATTTTCAAGTGACAATCCTGTCAAATGTCTTGGTAATCCAGCATACATGTAGTCTTCATTGACAAGACTTATATTTCTTAAATTTTCAAGTGACAGTCCTGCTTTTATCACCTACAAATATCTTAGTAATCTGCATAGTCTTTATCTACAAGACTCATATTTCCTGTTACAACCGTCACAATGAACACAGTTATCCAGTCTCTCTTAGGCAATAAAATCGAGGGGTCTGTTAAATCCACCTCTTCTATTCATATATTGTCTGAAATAAAAATAAACAAACACGTAAAAACCAGAGGAAATGAAATGGGGTTTAAAGTCAGACTGGGCTAATGAAGACGAGTATACGTCATACGGTGTGCTATGAGAGCAATTTTGCCCAGACAGCAGCGCTATGGCCTGCTCGTATATCAAATTCAAAATGCAAGAGGATCTTTTACGTGCACATCAATGTGTACACAGGACTTCGGTTTTTAATTCCATCCAAACGACAAGGCATTACAGACCAGAGGAGAGAGAGAGATTGGGTTTCTCACATCCAGTCAACACTAACTAGATCATTTTGGGACTAACATATGGTTGTTAGTCAATGTTTGTCACATTCAAACAGAGAGAGAAATGGGGTTTAACATTCACTCGACCTGCGGGACTAATATATGGTTCAATTGTCTTTAGTAGTGGAACTTGGAAGGAAACCCGAGGTTGGATGGCGATTCTACTCAACGTCACGTATAAGAGAGAGTGAGAGAGAAATGGGGTTTAACATCCACTCGACACAAACTAGGTCATATCGGGACTAACACATGGTTCAATTTTATTTCAATCATTCGCCCGTGCGTAGGGGTCTTTAGCAGTGGGAGGAAACCGGAGGACCCGGAGAAAACCCACAAGGTTGGACAGGCGACCCTACTCCTTGTCACTTACAAATGGGGAATCGCAACCCCACCAGTTGACTCAATGACAGACCGTATGATACAACGCGCACGTGCTTACCATTCGGCCATCCAACTCCCGTCACGTATAAGCTTGGAGTTGACTCAATCACAGACCTTATGCTCTAAAGCCCACTGAACCGCCAATGAACTAAAGAGTCAGAATTCTATCACTATTATCCATTATCTATTTGTTCCTCATGTCAACGAATCAATTACATCTCCATTCCCATTTATTTAGAAATATCCTTGATATCTGAATCAACCATGTTATTAAAGATAGGCAGATGTCAGGCATTGTGCTGCAAGAGAAAGCGGCGCTACAACCTAATTTTAATTTCAACTGTCAAGGTATCTTTTACCTGCACGACAATGTGTACATAGGTCCCATCCAACGACACATTTCTGTGCCACGCCCCCAGACCTGAATCATCGTGTACTCAGTCATGTGTAGCTTTCGCGACCAGCATCCTGTTAATTTCGTCAAGCAGCGGCTTACTCACTGACTGTTATCGTATATTTAATATAGTTGTCTTGTACTTACCTGTAACGTCTTTTCTGTGTTAACTTAGCAACATAAATATCATTATGTTCAACTTTTTTACCCTGAAATCATCAAATATACAAATTAATAACATTTACCAATATACAAATTAATAACATTTATAATTAATAACAATTACAAATTATTAATGATTACAAATTAATGACAATTACAAATTAATAATGATTACAAATTAATAATGATTACAAATTAATGATTACAAATGAATAATGATTACAAATGAATAATGATTACAAATTAATAATGATTACAAATTAATAATGATTAAAAATGAATAATGATTAAAAATGAATAATGATTACAAGTTACATTTTATCGTCAATCGGGAGGTTGTATCTGAATTAGAATTTTCACCTAGTTATCATATTTCTCAGCCAATAAAAATGGCGTTTATAACATGGTTTCAAAAAGTTACTTATAAATAAGGTGTTTCAAAAATATATAAACATTAAGCGCTAAATTGTTATATGTACTTGAAAAAGTCAGTATTGTGTTACGGTTAGAAATGTATCTGTTTAAATTATCTACAATATGATATCTATGAAATTCAAGCAGTTTTCTCGAGATACGAGATTGCAAATTACCAGATTTCAATGTATTTCTGAACTAAATGTTTAGCCTGACAAGTGTGGATTGCTATATACTGTTTTAACGGCTAAACATACATTTTTTACAGAAATATAGGAGAAAATCTTTAGAAACACGTCATTTAAAGTACAAGAGAGAGAGAGAGAGAGAGAGAGAGAGAGGGAGGTATTAACGTCCACTCGACACAAACTAGGTCATTTCGGGACTAACATATGGTTTAATTTTATTTCAATAATTCGCTTGTGCGTAGGGGTCTTTAGCAGTGGGAGGAAACCGGAAGACCTGGAGAAAACCCACGAGGTTGGACAGGCGACCCTACTCCTTGTCCTGTACAACCGGGGAATCGAAACCCCGCCAGTTGACTCAATGACAGACCGTATGATACAGCGCGCGTGCTAACCATTCAGCCATCCAACCCCCCCATTTAAAGTACAACATTTGACGTGACAATTCTGTACAATGTTATGATTTTTAGCCTCTATAAATTAGATTAAATATTAATTAGATTGAACATAAGATTGAATATTAATTAGATTGAATATTAATTAGATTGAATATTAATTAAATACCTTCGTTGAATCAAAACCAGAAAATCCCATTGTTCTCATCATGTCTGCTTCTTCTTCAGACATTCCTTGTAACTGTGATTCTATAATATACAAATAATACAATAATATCATTCCTTGTAACTGTGATTCTATAATATACAAATAATACAATAATATCATTCCTTGTAACTGTGATTCTATAATATACAAATAATACAATAATATCATTCCTTGTAACTGTGATTCTATAATATACAAATAAAACAATAATATCATTCCTTGTAACTGTCATTCTATAATATACAAATAATACAATAATATCATTCCTTGTAACTGTCATTCTATAATATACAAATAATACAATAATATCATTCCTTGTAACTGTCATTCTACAATAAAATCATATGAGTTTGCAGTAATGAAATTTCAGGACTAACATATGGTTCAATTTTATTTCAATATGGTTGGACAGCCGTCCCGGTCATACCACATGACTCAATGACAGACTGTATGATCACAGCCGTCCCGGTCATGTCACATGACCCAATGACAGACTGTATGATCACAGCTGTCCATTCCTGATGTGTGACCTGTGGTCTGGGAACCCACTTAATCCTTCCTGCATTCTTTACAAGAGTACAACAGAGAGAAATGGAGTTCAACCTCCACTCGACACAAACTAGGTCATTTCAGGACTTACACATGGTTCAATTTTATTTCTATAATTCGCTGGCACGTAGGGGTCTTTAGCAGTGGGAGGAAACCGGAGAGTACAACAGACCCACATACTTAACCTAATCCCTTCCTGGATGCACCCCCCTACTGAAAATTTTTAAAATGATTTACCAACCATCAATTTGAGGTCTGTGGCTTGGTTTTGAAGGTTCGCCACTTCTACAACATAAAAATATAAAACATAATAAAGTTATCAATCAAATCAATCACGTAATAAAATTATCAAATCATGTAATAAAAGTTATTGATCAAATCAATCATAAAACACTGTGTTTATTTCTTTTAGGCTATTTTTTTTTAGAAATTAATAGTCAATGTAGCAAACAGGGCCAGCACTGGTTTTTAACTTTTTTCAGCCAAAATGGATCCTAATATTTATATTAAAAAATTGTTTAAATATTTTTTCAAAGAACTGCCGTAAGAGTGTGATAAAAAAGACAATGTGTTGCAATTTTATTTCTCTGGTAGGCGTATTAATATTATAAAACAACTACCATCGTATACAATAAACAACAACTTACAATTTCCTTTTTCACAGAGCCCAGTTTAGGGATGCTTTACTAACATCAAGTTTTAGTTTTGAACAATATATTTATAGTTTTTACACTTTAAATCTCTTCTGAGAATTGTCACATTTTGAGTTTTCTTTAATTTTACATTTTGCATACAATCACACTATTGTTATTTTCAAGTACTGTGACAAGATTAGAATCTGAATCACTGATAGAAATTTCAATTTTATTTTAAGGAGAGCTTATAACATCAGATATTTACATGAATTAAAAATCGCTGTAGCAGATATTTACATGAATTACCTTTCTCGTGATCTTGATCTACGTCTTGGTGACTGTGACCTAAAACAAAGGGACATAATCCTGTATTATTCCAAGGAAACAGACAGTCACATTTATTATGGAATGAGAGAGACAGAAATTAGGTAATTTTGGGACTAACATATGGTTCAATTTTATTTCAATAATTCGTGGAGGTCTTTAGCAGTGGGGAGAAATTGGAGGATCCGGAGAAAACCCACGAGGTTGGACAGATGACCCTATTCCTTGTTACATACAAGCGTGGAATCGAAACCATGTCACTTTACTTAATGACAGACTTAATAATTTCAAACGTAACCTCCATATTATGGAATGTGGTTTATCTTTATTTCGGTCAGTTTGAAATTAACAAGTTTTGTTTCTATGGTTACATGTACATCTAAAATATGTACTCTAATTGATTATTCAACATTTAATTTAAAAACAAGTATGATCGTACTATGGACCAGGAACTGATCATGTGGGTGGATAAAATTAAAAAATCAATTTCCCCAAATTGACGCAGAATTGTTCAAAGAAGAAGATTGCCAATTTTCATGTAGATCGCACTTGAATTGACAGAGCCTCAGAGATTTTTAAAGAAGAACGTCACCCAAGAACAAAATAAGTAGCGGTTAGCGGTATTATGTATTTGGGGGTGTAACACAAAGGTGGTAGAACAAACACGTTAATACACAAAATCATCTCCTTTAATTTTATTCTGAGAGCCACACAAAGACATAAGTTATTTACAGCAAAATCACAATCACATCTAATTCGCGCTATTCAACGACACGGCGAGAAAACAAACTCCTGACTCGAGAGTTATCTTTATTCAACCTTGATTTCGTATTAATAAGGCCATACCACTTTAATAGGCCAACACATAATAAAATGTATGTGAATACATAACAGCGGCTAGTTCCTGGTTCAAAAATGAAAGTAAGATAGTCTGCCAGCTTGGATTCAATTGGATTAAAATGAGGCCCATCAAAAGATTTCAAGGAAAATCAAAAATCATAGGTGGCACTCGCTTGCTTGTGTTGGCTATATCTTACATTAAAATCGACAAGGATACAAAATGTTGACATACATGTATTTTCAATCCATCCTACCTTTGTACAAGTAGGCGGATGGATGGTCGAATGGTTAACCCCATGTGTGTTGCATCAAAAGGTCTATCATTGGGACAATTGACATGAATTTGATTCCTCGCTTGCACATGACCTTGTGTGTTTTCACCAGGGTTCTCTGATTTCCTCCCACTGCTAAAGACTTCTATGCACAATAGAATTATTGAAATAAAACAGAACAATATGTGATTCTCGAAATGACCTACAGTAGTTTGTGTTGAGTGGACGTTAAATCCCATTTCTCTATCTGTCTTGACTGAATTGAAATGAGACACTTTTGGATTGATATTCTATTTAATTGCAAGGGATTCAAAGGGCAGTAATAATTCCCAATGAATAATTATGTAGGCCTACCTTCTACGAGGAGAATGAGAGCGAGATCGACGTCGTGAATTGGTTGGACCACCAGGTGGTGTTCGAGATCTGTATCTGGGTGAACGTGAACGATTCTTTTTGTGTGGATCTGAAAATAAATGAAATAAATATTGCATAAAATACCAGGATTACCGAAAGGTGTAGTTTACTTTCTGTCTTTCTGTGTAGAACTTAACATGTAATCATCACTAGAGTAGGGGGTTGAAATGAAGTAAAATGGGGTTTAATGTCCTAATTTTCTGCTCCGACTGGGCTAATGAAGACATACTACGCCATGCAGTGTGCTATGAGGGAATTTTTTGCTCCGACTGGGCTAATGAAGACAAGACCTATGCCATGCAGTGTGCTATGATGAGCGAACTTTGAACCAGAAAGCGACGACACATCCCACTTTAATTGCGAATTCCAACTGTCAAGGGTTCTTTATGAGCATATCAATGTTTATACTGGATCTTAGTTTTAAAGCCAATCCAAACGACTACATGTTTATGTTGTCCTTTACCAGGCACTCCATCCTACACTACTGACAAGATCGAACTACCCTCGAACATCATGTTGTCCTTTACCAGGCACTATATCCTACACTACTGACAAGATCGATCGAGAGAGAGAGAGAAATGGGGTTTAACGTCCACTCGACACAAACTAGGTCATTTCGGGACTAACATATGGGTTAATTTTATTTCAATAATTCTCCAGTTGACTCAATGACAGGCTTTATGATACAGCGTGCACGAGCTAACCATTCAGCCATCCAACCCCCCCCCCCCCCTGACAAGATCGAACTACCCTCGAACATCATGTTGTCCTTTACCAGGCACTATATCCTACGCTACTGACAAGATCGAGAGAGAGAGAGAGAGATAGATGGGGTTTAACGTCCACTCCACACAAACTAGGTCATTTCGGGGCTAACATATGGTTCAATTTTATTTCAATAATTTGCTTGCGCGTGGGGGTCTTTAGCAGTGGGAGGAAACCGGGGAAAACCCATGAGGTTGGACAGGCGACCCTACTCCTTGTCACGTACAACCAGGGATTCGAAACCACCCCAGTTGACTCAATGACAGGCTTATGATACAGCGTGCACGTGCTAACCATTCAGCCATCCCCCCCCCCCCCCCCCCGACAAGATCGAACTACCCTCGAACATCATGATGGACTTTTTCCACCAACACCTGGATTAAACATGGGATTCCCAGGTTAGCGAGCCAACTTCTTCCTCACTGCGCCACCACGTCTCAAAGTCTCCCCCTGCTAGGATTCTGATTGACAATAAGTTAATCAGGTACAGCTTGTAAAGAGAACAGTGCGATAAACTACAAATTCTAATATCTAAAACGTTCAGATACACATGTAATTACATCTGCAGTCGTAGATACAGAAATTGGTGGAAACTAATCATAACTAAATAAAATTGAAGTAATTAACCAACCAGTTCTTCTTGTATTTCTTTCCCTAGAACGAGATCTGCGTCTTTCTGGAATGGAGAAAGCGAGAATATGACATGTAAACAGTATTATCTTAAAATCCAGATGTGGTAATTACATTTAAAGATGTCCACCAACCAAAGTTAGGTCAACAGCTAAGTCATCTGACCCAGAGGTCCATAGTATTTGTTGCTGTACGCATTTTTAGGGTAGGCCAAGCTCCCATCAAATTACTTAGTCAGTGTTTTATAACTGTTGAAGCATAGAGATGCGTTATGATTATCAAAAGTTGGCCATAAATATGAAATATACTAGCCTAATTAACTACTATTACTAACTAGCCTAAACATAATGTAATATATATTAACGCTCTTACACTTTGCTCAGACTGAACAAGTTTTAGATTGATTAGGCTAGAGTCTTACGAATGCATAGATAATAGATTAGAATTTAGAAATTAGATTTAGTTACTTAGAGATCTGAGATAGGCTACAACAAGAACAACAACGCGGAAAATAGAATAAAATTTATAAATATTGAATGATTCTAGAACCGAGACGACAAATTCTCTATTTTTATTTGAGTTGTCAGACTAAACTATTTACAAACCTCTAGACCGAGATCTACTTCTGTTTCGTGGCATTTTGTAGCTTAAATTTAAAATAAAATCTGTAAATTATTGTTTTCGTTTTCTGTTCGTCAGGACTCCATTTTGGAATAAGCGCCCTCTGGTGTGAGAAAAGATAACCAATCACAGAATGAACAAAGCTTAACTTCCGTAATCACGCCAGCTCCTCCGGAGCCTCCGTGGCCTAATGGATAAGGCATCGGCCTCCTAAGCCGGGGATTGCGGGTTCGAGTCCCGTCGGAGGTGTTTTGGTTTTTGTTTTTCCTTATTTTTCAACTATCTTAAAGTAAAGAACATAGCATAGAAACTCAAATATTAAGTGCAAAATCATTAATACAAAACAAATTCACGATCAAACGAAAGCATTGGCAAAGATTTTTATAAAATGGAGTTACCTCCCTTCCAAGTTCCATAGACTTCGTTGAAACACGCCCGCTGGATCACTTTTACTTTAGCAAAGTCTTCAAGTTAACATGGACATGGTTTAGATAATAGATGTACTACTTCTGAATTCTATTACAATACACACACATGTATCGGTATCAAGCAAATAATATAATAAATTAAAAAGTTGTCAACATGTCACTGCATACGATATAAAATGGGAAATGGCGAAAACAAGCCAGCGCACGACAATCTTCTTCGATAAAATATTTTGATCAGCCTCTTTTTAATCCGAATGAAATCAAGCGGTTGAATTTTGAGTTTTATTGAAATGTTAAACCACCAACCTGAGTAGTCCTACGTATAGTTCAACTGCCGTGGTTTTGATTCCCCGGTTGTACGTGACAAGAAGTAGGGTCGCCTGTCCAACCTCGTGGGTTTTCTCCGGGTCCTCCGGTTTCCTCCCACTGCTAAAGACCCCTACGCGCAAGCGAATTATTAAAATAAAACTAAACCATATGTTAGTCCCGAAATGACCTATTTTGTGTCGAGTGAACGTTAATAGTGTGGATTAAGTCGAGAAATGTGATATTTTCTCGTAAAATGTAAAATGTAAATAATGATCGACTGCGTTAAGACAGTTAAGTTGTTATATCGATTGGCTCTAGATGAATTTTATTTCTTTTTTATTTCAGCCAATAACCTGCTATTATAAAAGAGTCAATTCGCTGGTAATGCACAGCTGTTGACAGGTATTTCTAATAAAATTAGGTAGATTCATTGAAAATATATTGTTATTTTTCTCTGTTAAATTGTAAATTCTAAGATATAGCTAAAGAACTGATCGTTCTCGCTAATAAAATAATTAAAAAATTGATAATACAAGATTAATATATAATATTTAATTTATGTCAGCACAAAAAGCAACGAGATTTTATTAAGAGGCCACTCCCGTTAAGCGGTCAGTTGTGAAAATTCCCTTGGGTGGCTGCTTAATGCAGATTCTACTGTATAGACCTAATGAAAATTTCAGTCAAATTGCTTTATTGATTATAAGCTTTGATAAGAATAGTACAGTCTTGATTTTCATTGCTTGTTACGGTAATAAACATAGTCTCAAATATTCTTTTTAAAATTATTTTTCAAATGGCGATCGTGTTTCATCCGTTAAATCACATGGTCTAGAGAGTCGAATTTAGGCTTGCCATGCGAATAAATAAATAATTAATGATAATACAATAGTCAGATTAAACTCTGTATGTTTTATAGTTTGATGTGTAATAAAATCTATAAATATTATAAAGAAGATTCTATAAATTTTAAATGAAATACAGGTATGTATTCTTTGTTAAATGGAATTTAGTGGATTCTTGTGAATAAAGATTATTATTATTAAAGTTGGTCCGAAACCCCCAACGATACAGTTGGTTAAATACAGTATGCTACAGACATACGAGACTATATATTCTGGCGTGGATCCTCCTTGTCGCTGGGATGGACGGGAAAGCGTAGGTCTACAAAGTGCTGTCGCTCGGGTGTGACGAAAAACCGATGTCCGGTGTAGGCCTACACATTGACATGCACCTAAAAGAACCGTAGACAGTTGGAATTCGATATAAGAGTAGGCCGTAGGGGCGCTGTCTGGACAAAATTTCCCTAATAACACCCTGTATGGCGTATGCCAGTCTTCATTAACCCAATCGGTGCAGCACAGTGGGACGTTAAACCCCATTTCATTTCAATACGGGATATTATATTGAACTTTACACCACTATTTCTCCTTACATCTCTATCTTTCTCTGAATAATTCATTTCACAATTCGGGCGACTCGCCTTGTCCATGTTCCTGAAGCAACGACCGAGAGTTTTACAACATCTAGCCGTTGCGAGATTAGTTTGAAATCCCCAAACTTATAGATACGTTATGCCCCTTTACCACAGACACGTAAACAATAGAGTTGTCCAATCAGATGTCGTTGCACAAACACACTCAAATAAAACAAAACAAACTTAATTTAGACAGTAAGTTTTATTATAAATACTTTGGTAGATGCATTCAGAACTATTCTTTATCCCATCCAAAGGCGTTACTCCCAGAAACAAGTAATATAAACAAAAACCGAATCAGAACCACTGGGATGACGGCGTCTAGTAGGTGCTGACTGATCCACGCCGTCACCCTCGCTCCCTGTTATATACCAAGCATGTGCGTCGACTGGTAGTAGGACACTGGGACCCGACTGTCAATCTCGGTTCTAATTACCATATATTAATACAATTATGGGGTCAAGGTTTCCCCTTGTCAGTTGCTAAAAAGAGAGCGTTATGTCATAATATCATGACGTCATAAAGGGACATCATGAGTTATAAAGAGCATAATGTCATAATAAAATTGCGATGTAAAGTTACATGATTATGTCATTATACCATGACGCCATAAAGCGGCATAATGTCACAATACCATGACGCCATAAAGCGACATATCATAATAACATGACGTTATAACGATACATGCCACAATAACACCACGTTCTAAAGAGCCATAATGCCATAACGTTATAAAGAAAAATCGTAATACGATGACGTTATAAAGATA